ACAACAACAACAAAACATTCACCCCCCCGAAGAAGGAGGTCCCCTTTTTTGAGGTTCCTACTCTAAAGATGGAAGAGCCAGATGAATCAAAAAAAGTCAGATTTTCCCAAAGCCAATTTTCCAGGTTAGAGACCATGTTGCAAAATATAAGATTATCCATTAACAACTAACTATCCTTGTGGCTAGGAGTAAACACAACTGCTATGTAAAAACTTATATAGCAATCTTGCCCTTTTACCTCTGTCCCTCTCCATATCTGGTTATATTAATTTGGGAGAAAATTCACTCAGCTAAAAATAGATCTTGGATACTGTGGGATACTGTTACAGCAGGAGGAGGCAGCGATAAGGTGGGTTTGAAAGAAGGAATAGATTAATTCCTGGGTCCAGGCCTGCCCCATCCCCACCTTATGGATCTAGATCCCCAGTCAGGGTGGTTATGGCACAAGGAGTCCTATGGAAGTCACTGAATGTTCCTAAGGCGTTTTGTTTGGCTTTGCCAATCCCAGCCTAGTCTGGTCCACTCCCCTTGCAATGGACTGGAGAGAGGGACTCACCACAGGTTGAGCATTTTCAGGCAGCTACAGAGTATATAAAGAGAAAAACACAGAAAGGAAGAGAGAGAAAGAGAGAGATATTAGTCCACAGAGGTGAGATGAAAGCGACTCCCTGTGCGCCATGCAAACATGCAGTATGTGTCTGTGTTTAGTTTCTTCTTCTGTCAAGGTAGGGTGAGTAGGCCCAGGCCACTTGGTCCCTACGTTAAAGTGGAGGGTTTGGACAGGAGCCTGACAGAAGCATCAAGTGGGAGCTGGATCTCAGGGGTAAGGCAAAACAGAAAGAGTTGGTGGGAGCTCGAGGGTGGCTTTCCTGGGCAACTTCTAGGAAGGCAGCAGGGGAAAAAGCAAATGACCCTGCCTGTAAGAACTCAATCAAGCACCAGGGGTGAACCATTTTTGTTCCCACATGAAGTCTTGCTGTACAATATTAAGCTAACCTCCCAACTTTTCTGAGGGAAAAAGAAAGTCCCTAGCCTTTGTACAAGCCCACCATGCCTGATTAAAGCAGCTAGCAGCTCCTCCTCTAGAGAGGGAGAGAAGGTTTAAGCGACACTTACTTTATCTTACTAGAAGATGAATCAGAGGGAGGAGGGTTACTGCTCTGTAATAAGGTGTAACTACCAGAGAAGGACCTAAATTCTACTCTTGTTATAATGCTCAGGAGAAATTAGGTTCATATTTGTTAAATTATAGCTGAAGTATGGATAATCAAAAATTCCTGTATTCTAACAAAAATCAATCAAAAAGCTGCCTGCCCCCACTACCCTTTTAACCATAAACAAGGACATATGTCCTGGAGCTAGAGAAAAAGGGAATTCAAATGTTCATTTTGTATATAGAACAAAAGCCAAGACCCTGTTATTTCTTTCCACTCTTACGCTAAACAAGCTGGATGAGGAATCCAAAATCAAAAGCCTGTAAGTGAAGGTTTTACGCGGTCTCCCCAGGACTGAAGTGCGTCTCAATAAGCATCAGCCCCTCTACCCAACAAGCAGGCTACATGAACAAATACATCACAGCTGCGTGCAATGAGGGGCTGTTTGGAACACCTCGTGCTTCTCTAGCTGTGACTTCTTCCCATGAAAATGATCAACCAGGTGGACATAGGGCTACCTTTTCCTTGCCCCCCCGCCACAAAGGCCCAGAAGAATAACACATGGCTGGGCCCTGACAGTTCTCTGGGCAAGGTGGATTGGTAGCCCATGAAATCACTAAATCCCCTAAGCCATGAGCTTCAGGATGACATACGGTGAAATATAATTACTCCCCTATGCTTTCTACACCTTTCAGATGGTCCAGACCTGAAGCTGGTGGCAAAGAGGCACACTTGTCCTTTTTGCTAAATGACAAGACTTTAAATTCTCCTTACATTCTAGAGGTTAGAGTATACCAATACAGAATACACCAGATTGAAATCTCTGTGTGAATGAGCCCATACCTTACACACAGAACACAAATACCACACTCACATACACAATTAGTATACACATTTACCAAAATGAGATGAGATGAATGGGTTCAAAAAATAAACCTGCATAGGGCATAAGACTAAAGCCCATTTGATTATTACAGTCAAAGTATATTATTAAATCCAAAGCTAAACTTCTAGCCTCCAAAGTAACAGCCACAAATGTGAATTGAGAATGGGGTGGGTGCTGGGAACAGGTATGGCCGTCCTCCAAGCCCTGACAATGTTTAGATCAGACCATGCTTAGTACAGTAGTTCTTAACACTGGCTACGCATTAGAGTGACCTGAACTTTTTTTTCTTTTTCTTTTTTCCACTGCAACAGTCTACCCAAATGAGATGACCTGAACTTTTAACATTCTTGATGCTCAGGCCACATTTCAATAAATTAAATCAGAATCCCTGGGGCTAGACTCAGACATTTGTATTTTTTAACATGCCCTAGGTGACTCCAAAGTGTAGCCAGTTGAGAGCCCAGAGGGTGGGCTCTTAAATAAACATATTGTTTATTTAAGAGAATGTAATTTTGTATGAAAATCGAAAAATTGTGAGTACCATTAATATCTCCACAGTCCCTGAGACTAGAAAGCATGTTTCCTTACTAAAATGGTCTTTTCCTGGCAGATTCAGCATATCTTATGTATCAGTGCCTTATACAAGCTGGGAGAAGAGCTCTGAGGCTACCTACAGTTAGCAGGGGCTCAACAAGAGAGAGTCAAGTCATCCTCATTCACTTTCGATATATTAGGTAGGAGTCCTCAAGCTGCGGTTTTCCAAGCAAAAAACTTTTTTTTTCTTTTTTTGAGACAGAGTCTCCTCTGTCACCAGGCTGGAGTGCAATGGCACGATCTCAGCTCACTGCAACCTCCGCCTCCTGGGTTCAAGCAATTCTCTTGCCTCAGCCTCCTGAGTAGCTGAGATTACAGGCACATGCCACCACGCCCAGCTAATTTTTGTATTTTTAGCAGGGACAGGGTTTCACCATTTTGGCCAGGATGGTCTCTATCTCTTGATCTTGTGATCTTCCTGCTTCAGCCTCCCAAAGTGCTGGGATTACAGTCATGAGCCACTGTATCTGGCCAAAAACTTTTTTTTTTTTTTTTTTTTGGAGACAAGGTCTTACCTGCTGCCCAGGCTGGAGTACAGTGGCACAACCACAGCTCACTGCAGCCTCGACCTACCAAGTACCTGGGACTACAGGTGCACACCACCATGCCCAGCTAATTTTTAATTTTTTTGTAGAGATGAAATCTCATTATGTTGCCCAGGCTGGTGTCAAACCCCTAGACTCAAGTGATCCTCCTCCCTTAGATTCCCAAGTGCTAAGAGTACAGGCATGAACTACCATACCTGGCTAAAAAGGGCTTCTTGAAGGCAAAGTGAGCTCATCAAAAAGATTGGCAGGGCTTGGCACAGTAGTTCATGCCTGTAATCTCAGCACTTTGGGAGGCTAAGGCAGGAGGATCACTTGAGCCTTGGGAATAGAGGCTACAGTGAGCCATGATTGTGCCACTGCACTCCAGCTTTGGCAACAGAGGGAGACGCTTTTTCAAAAAATAAATAAATTGGCTGGGCACGGTGCTCACGCCTGTAATCCCAGCACTTGGGAGGCCAAGGCGGGTGGATCACGAGATCAAGAGATCGAGACCATCCTGGTCAACATGGTGAAACCCTGTCTCTACTAAAAATACAAAAAATTAACTGGGCATGGTGGCGTGTGCCTGTAATCCCAGCTACTCGGGAGGCTGAGGCAGGAGAATTGCCTGAATCCAAGAGGCAGAGGTTGTGGTGAACTGAGATCACGCCATTGCACTCTAGCCTGGGTAACAAGAGCGAAACGCCATCTCAAAAATAAATAAATAATTAAATAAATTTTAAAAATGGGCAGGAGACCAGGGAAATAGGCAGGAAAGACAAAGTGTACCTGGAAGGAGGAAGAATGCAGCTCTCGGTGGCATTTTACTAACTTACACTCATAGGTATAAGCGTGTTCTGGCTTGTATTAAGCTACTTGGGGGCTCATGAGACTACTTAGATGCAATAGCTGTGTACAATAACCTAGAAATAGGTTGTCTACTTCAGAAAAAAAAGACACTGTGATATCCTGAAGGTTCTCAAAGGGCTCACAAGAAAGGTCCTCCAGATCAGGGACAGCAGCAGTTACTGACTCATGGTGTCTCTATCTCTCCCTACCTGGTATCTTCTTGGAGTCTAAATCTGGATCTAAATTTGGGATGGGGGAAAAACGGGAAAAAAGTGGTAGAAATGCTGCTTTTGCAGCCGAATCGGCAGTTAGTTCACCTTCCACCCCAGATTTTAAGAGTTTAAACACAGACCATGCAGTGCACCAAGGGGCTGGTGATATGGGTAGGGCAAGACATACACATGCAAGAGAAGCAGAAAGGGGCATGGGGCAACCTCCTTACCTTCCTGAGATTAGCATAATTTCCATTCTTTCCCCACACTCTCATTCACATGAGCAGACTATAATATTTTTCTTGCCTGACTTAAGTCTCTCTGAAGCCAAAATCATTTGGGAGTGAACAAAATGGCCCTGAAATCCTTGTTCCATGACTGTAAATCCAGTTGTTAGCCCACAATCAGAAATCAAAAGCTATTGAGCATGGCCCATGATTTAACAGCAGATTTTTCTCTATATCCCATACAGAGCAAGAAGCTCCACAGCCCCAAGAGGCTCATGGCTACCATCTACTGTAGCTCTGATAAATGATTCTTTCGGTTCACTGTATCTTTTTCATGTGAACTAGAATAATGTGACTGTCTTCCCTGAAATCACAGCTAAAGAAGGGCAGCAGCAGCCTTAAGGTCCATGCAAAAATTAAAACAGTTAAGGAAGAAAGCTGTGGTTACAAGCATGAGGAATCCAGTCTGAAATGAGCAGCACACAGAGAGGAAGAGACAGAAAAGATTTTTCAACTCATGACTTAAGAGCCCCCTTGAAAGATGTACGTACTTAGCTTCCTCCACTACCTCGACCTCGGCGTGAGCTGTGATTGGTGCATTGGAGTGGGCTCCCGTGGGATCATCAACATTCAACTCTCCATTGGTTGAGCTAACCACCTGAAACAGAAAGACAAAGTGTGTGACAGGCACCATGGCAATAGAAATCTCTTGCCAGCAGCAGACAAGGTCCCTAAGGGAGATCTGGTTTCTAGCTTAGGCACCAAACAGGCAGTGTCTGGAATTTTTTTTCCCGGGTTAAGGGATCGATTTAGGGAAGGTTCCCAGGCCCATATCACGTGAGAACATTAAAATCAATGATGTAATCATATAATGATGGTAATAACTTCCATACTGAGTACCTACTCTGTGTCAGGCACTCTGCTACACTGTGTAAATTTAATCCTTACAAATCTTAGGAAATAGGTCTTTTTACAGATGGGAACACTAAGAAATGACTTAACCAAGGTTTAAAGTTAATATCTGTGGAGTTCCATGAGGAAAATGTTTCTAAACACATAGATTATTTCATATTGCAAAAATATACACATTACTTTATTAAGTTAAAAATAACTGCGGCCAGATGTGGTAGCTCAGGCCTATAATCCCAGCACTTTGGGAGGCTGAGGCAGGTGGATCACGAGGTCAGGAGTTCGAGACCATGCTGGTCAACACGGTGAAACCCCATCTCTACTAAAAATATAAAAATCAAGGGCAGGCGCAGTGGCTCATGCCTATAATCCCAGCACTTTGGGAGGTCGAGATGGGTGGATCACGAGGTCAGGAGTTTGAGACCATCCTGGCCAACATGGTGAAACCCTGTCTCTACTAAAAATATAAAAATCAAGGCCGGGCGTGGTGGCTCACACCTATAATCCCAGCACTTTGGGAGGCCAAGGCAGGTGGATCACGAGGTCAAGAGATCGAGACCATCCTGGTCAACAAGGTGAAACCCCGTCTCTACTAAAAATACAAAAAAAAATTAGCTGGGCATGGTGGCGCATGCCTGTAATCCCAGCTACTCAGGAGACTGAGGCAGGAGAATTGCCTGAATCCAGGAGGCGGAGGTTGCAGTGAGCCGAGATCGCGCCATTGCACTCCAGCCTGGGTAACAAGAGCAAAACTCTGTCTCAAAAAAAAAAAAAAAATATATATATATATATATGTGTGTGTGTGTGTGTATATGTGTGTGTGTGTGTGTGTGTGTGTGTGTGTGTGTGTGTGTATATATATATCAGCTGGGCATGGTGGTGCATGCATGTAATCCCGGCTACTCAGGAGGCTGAGGTAGGAGAATCATTTGAACCAGGGAGTTGGAGGTTGCAGTGAGCTGAGATCTTGCCACTGCACTCCAGCCTGGCGACAGAGGGAGACTCCTTATCTAAATAAATAAATAAATAACGGCATGGCTGACTTCTAAACGTAAACATCACTTGGCTCCCTTGAATATGATGGGTGAAGTTTACTTCTCTCAGTTTATTATGCTATAATTATACAGACTCAGTGATGATATTGAAAAGAAAAGTTCTAAAAAGAAAGTCAACCGTGGGCACCAGAAACTATAAACACACTTTCTTTCAGAAATTTTCTCATGGCTTTGAGCATTGGTTAGAAGTTACACAAATAACAAGACTGTCACATCCTCTCTGGCAAGAGGGAAGATGGTAAAAAAACACTCTCCCTTGGAAAGCCAGTCTTATTTCAGTTATCTTTATTTCAGGTTCACTGTCATCCCACTTGTCACTGATGGTCCCCGAAATGTAAGAGATGGCTGTCACTCCTGTCATCTGGTTAATGTGGACCCCATCAGGCTTCTCTTGCTTGTGTAGCTGCTTCTGCCACCTGGTTTCATTTCCAGCACATGATTCCCGTTTATGTGGGTGCTGGGAAGTGGGAAAAGGGACCCCACTGCTGGACAAACCACTCTGCTGTTAAAGACCTTGGCTGAAACATGGGAGAGAACCACAAAATAGGATGAACAGTTTGGATATCATACGCCCTTGGATAAGTACTTCCATCTATTTGAGACTGTTTCTTATAGGTTGATGAAAGAATCATACAAGAAAATGTATGAGACTGTCATACATTATAAATAAGGGAAGCAGCATAGTGTAGAAATAGCCATAATCAGGCCTAAGTTTGAACCCTAGCTCCACCACTTACTTGCTGTGGGTCCTTGGGCAAGATTTTCAATCTATGCCTGAGCTTCCTAATCTGTAAAATGAGAGAACAATGCTGCTTACCTATGGTATTTACTGTGCATACAACCCACAGAAAGTGCTTAGTTCAGTACCATGAGACATGGTAATAGCTCAATAAGTGGTCATCTTACTGTTACTCTCTGTCTGTAACTGTTTATTCTTATCTGCCTCTAGCTCAGGGGTCCTCACCAGCAGTTAATCCACAAAAGTTTCCTGATTAGTCATAAAGAGGAGTGTGTGAGGAAATATTTAGTGCAAGTAGCCTCTGGGACAGACAGGGTGAATATTACTCACTTTTATATCCATCATTATTTCTAAACAAGAAATGATTACTGTTCTCATTAATAACACTTTTTTTTTGAGACAGAGTCTTGCTCTGTTGCCCAGGCTGGAGTGCAATGGCACGATTTCAGCTCACTGCAACCTCTGCCTCTCAGGTTCAAGTGATTCTCCTGCTTCAGCCTCCCGAGTAGCTGAAATTACAGGCATGTGCCAGTGTACCACCATGCCTGGCTAATTTTTTTTTTTTTTTTAGTAGAGATGGGGTTTCACCATATTGGCCGGGCTGGTCTCAAACTAATGACCTCAGGTTATCCACCCACCTCAGCCTCCTAAAGTGCTGGGATCACAGGCATGAGCCACTGTCCCCAGCCTTCGGCTGAATCTTAATAAAAGATTTTGTTTTTTGGCCGGGCGTGGTGGCTCAAGCCTGTAATCTCAGCACTTTGGGAGGCCGAGGCGGGTGGATCACGAGGTCAAGAGATCGAGACCATCCTGGTCAATATAGTGAAACCCCGTCTCTACTAAAAATACAAAAAATTAGCTGGGCGTTGTGGCGCACGCCTGTAATCCCAGCTACTCGGGAGGCTGAGGCAAGAGAATTGCCTGAACCCAGGAGGCGGAGGTAGCAGTGAACCAACATTGCGCCATTGCACTCCAGCCTGTGTAACGAGAGCAAAACTCCGTCTCAAAAAAAAAAAAAAAAGATTTTGTTTTTTAAACACGGGAGACTTACAGATTAAAAGGGATTAAAAGAGACTAAGACATTGAGAAAGACTTATGAGGCCCAAAACCTAAAATCCAATAAAAAAATTAAAAAAAAAAAAAAAAAAAGACTTATGAGGTATACTGCATTGGTTAAGGCAATTAAATCCTGGACACTACAATATTAATTCTGGGGACAACTGGAATTAGGTGGAATGTGATATGGACTGTCTATTAGATATGAAATTAACTTTCTTAGAATGTCTTTGTTCTTAGAAGATACAGGCTGAAGTATTTTGGGATAAGGTGTAATAATGTCTGCAGCTTACTTTCATATGGTTTAGCAGGCAAACACACACACACACACACACACACACTCTTTCACACTCAGAATTAAAGCAACTATGGCAAAATCTTAATAATTGGTCTAACGAGGTTAAAGATATATAAGAGTTCATTGCATTTCCCTCCCAATTTCTCTGTAGAGTTGAAATTTTCAATACAAAAGTTGGGGAAAAAAACAGCAAAAACAAAAAGTTGAGGGAAGAGGGAATATGGATTGGAAAACCACAGCTCCTCACTCTCTATCCTGTTAATTTCCTCAGTGCTTCATTTGCTTCCTGTGGATATATTCTGGCTACACACCAGTGACAATACTGGTAAGATCATTCTGTGAGCACAAGGGTTACAGGAGAAAATGGTAAGTTTCTAGTGGACAATTCAGGAACTAGACAAGATGTTCAATAAAATGTCTTGGCTTCTACTCACACAAATGAAACATTAGTAAGCATCACCACTGAGAATTACCTGGTGACTCTGGGTGATGGGGCCTGCTCACAGCATTTCACATGGCTTATACTTTCTAATTTCTCCTCGTTATGAATTACCATTTGGGCCATAAGCACAGTCCTTAGGCAATCTAAGGAATAAGAAGTTTATCCCCATTTTACAGACTAGACATCTTGTCTGTATCAATGAGCATCTGGTCTCAAATGAATGAGGCATAAGTAGAACCTCCAGTTCTCTACTCTTAAACTTAATTGTATCAAAAACATACCTAGGACTCAAAGGCTACAAATCTGGGCCTTTATAGCATCCACTTAATTATTTCACATTGGAGGTCCAGTATGTCAAACTACTGAACGGATGCCTGGAGGTGCAGTGCAACAAACACTGTGTAAGTGACAGAAGACTCGGATTCTAGGCCTTGTTCTACCATTAAAATCTTCTGTGAGCCCTGTTTTCTAATTCTATAAGTCAAGGCCAATGACCATAATCCTATCAACTTCATAAATATGAAGGGAATTAAATAAAATTACGTTTAGAAAAGAGATTTGAAAAATTATAATTTTATGAATGTAACAAATTGTTTTTATGTTTTTTAATTTTTTTTTGTTGGGGGGAGATGGAGTCTCACTCTGTCACCTAGGGTACAGAGCAGTGGTGTAATCTCGGCTCACTGCAACCTCTGCCTCCTGAGTTCAAGCAATTCTCCTGCCTCAGGCTCCTGAGTGGTTGGGACTACAGGCATGCATCACCACGCCTGGCTAATTTTTGTATCTTTTAGTAGAGACAGGATTTCACCATATTGGCCAGGATGGTCTTGAACTCCTGATCTCAAGTGATCTGCCCTCCTCGGCCTTCCAAAGGGCTGGGATTACAGGCATGAGCCACCATGCCCAGCCGTTATGTTTTTTCTATTAAATTTTTAGTATAACTTAATTATAAAATATAATAAAAATTAAGCTTCCTTATAAAAAGCTTTATTTGCGGCTGGGCAAGGTGGCTTACACCTATAATCCTAGCGCTTTGGGAGGCCAAGACAGGCAGACTGCCTGAGCTCAGGAATTCATTCACCACAAGCCTGGGCAAGGTGGTGAAACTTCATCTCTACCTAAAATACAAAAAATCAGCTGGGTGTGGTGGCAGGCGCCTGTAATCCCAGTTACTTAGGAGGCTGAGGCACGAGAATTGCTTGAATGCAGGAGGCGGAGGTTGCAATAAACCAAGATTGCGCCACTGCGCCCCAGCCTGGACAACAAAGTGAAATTCTGTCTCAAAAAAAAAAAAAAAAAAAAAAAGCTTTATTTGCATATTCAAATAGACATTTATTTTACTTTAATCACTATTAAAATTAATCCCTCATTACTCTGGGTATACCAAACAAGACCAATTAATATCTTACAGCATTACCCATTAGAAAGACTAAGGTAAAGAACCGTTTTGATGTTCAGACCTGATAATACCCCTTTTAGGAGTCTCAATAATTTGAGTTATTAGTTTCATTTCTCAAAATGTCACCGTGAGGAGAAATCAGAGCTGTGTGTCAAAGGAAACCGTACTTTGATGCATGTGTCATTCTAAGCTTATGTCCTTACTTGGTCCTAAACATTTCTAAAAACTTCCTCCCTAAACATTTTAATTTGGAGAATTTTAGAGGAATCTTTTTGAAAGAAAAATATATTACCTTCTTGCATTTAGGCCTTTCACATGTCAAAGATAAAAGATCTGTGGAAATACTGGAAGGATGAGAACAATGGGGTCTGCGCATTAAACATGTTGGAAGAGGAGTCCCCATGTGCCTTATCAGAGCAAACTTTTCTTAAATTAGCATTCTGCACTCCCTCCCAGAGTGATGGTGTCTGCAAGTCACCCAGGCTAGGCCAAGCATGATTTTCATTATCTCTGGTAAGTGAGACAACTCAGAATTGTGGACATCTGTTGTATTAGGAAAGTACTGTTAATTTGGTTTGCAAAAGGTATAACTTTTACTTCTTTACAAAAATTCGAGCTAAAAGCAGTAAGTCCAAAGGGGCCAATGTAATGAGGAGGAACAGAGCTGAACATAATATAAGGTAAATGGTGCAACTGCTTACCCTCTATCTAAGTGCCAAGGAAGCTGGTAAAACTTAGTTTATAGGGAGTAAAGGATGTTGCATGTTTCAAAAGTGCCACCCAAGACAACCTCAATTGGCTCCATTTCTAAAGGACACTTTACAAGGCCAGGTGCAGTGGCTTATGTGTGTAATCCCAGGACCTTGGGAGGCTGAGGTCAGTGGATCACTTGAGGTCAGGAGTTCGAGACCATCCTGGCCAACATGGCAAAACCATATCTCTACTAAAAATCCAAAAATTAGCTGGGCGTGGTGGCACGTGCCTGTAATCCCAGCTACTCTGGACACTGAGGCAGGAGAGCTGCTTGAACCCGGGAAACAGCAGTGGTAGTAGTCAAGATCGTGCCACTGCACTCCAGCCTGGATGACCAAGCAAGACTCTGCCTCGAAAAAAAAAAAAAAGAAAAGAAAAGAAAAACATGCTTATTTTGTAATTATAAAAAGACAAGGATAAACTATAGTGTGAAAAAGGAAAACACTAAAGAGCAAAGAGCTGCTCTGCAGCTCTGTTTTGAACAGGCTACTCTCTTTCGTTGGTGTACAGATCCTAGGATGTCCTAACTTTATTATCCTAGGGATTCCCTTTGTTTCTTTCCTGTGCTGGATCTCTGGTTTCCTGGATCTCAGACATTCATTTTTTCTTTTTTGAGACAGAGTCTCACTGTCACCCAGGTTGGAGGGCAGTGGCGCGATCTCGGCTCACTGCAACCTCCTCCTCCTGGGTTCAAATGATTCTCCTGCCTCAGGCTCCCAAATAGCTGGGACTACAGGTGCCTGCCATCATGCCTGGCTAATTTTTTTTTTTTTGTATTTTTTAGTAGAGATGGGGTTTCACTATGTTGGTCAGGCTGGTCTTGAACTCCTGACCTTGTGATCAGCCCACCTTGGCCTCCCAAAGTGCTGGGATTACAGGTGTGAGCCACCACACCTGTCCGTTATTTCTTTCTTGTTCTATTAATTTTGATAACACACATCCTTGTGTGGCTTCATAAGAAAGGGTACCTGAGAAATAAAATTGAGAGTTTTTTTGTTTTATTTTTATTTTATTTATTTTTTTTTTAAGAGACAGGGTCTTGCTCTGTCACCCAGGCTGGAATGCTGTGGTAAGATCATGGCTCACTGCAGCCTCAAACGATCCTCTTGGCTCAGCCTTCCTAGCAGCTATGACTATAGGCACACAGCACTATACCCAGCCAATTTTTCTGTTTTTTTTTTTTGTAGAAACCAGATCATGCTGTATTGCCAGGATGGTCAAAACCTCCTGGCCTCAAGTGATATTCCTGCCTAGGCCTCTTAAAATGCTGGAATTATAGTTGCAAGCCACTGTGCCTGGTACCTAAGAGCAATGCTTTTTTTTGTTTTTTTTTAAGAGTCTCACTAACTCTGTCACCCAGGCTGACACTGCAGTGCAATTGCAATGGCACAATCTTGGCTCACTACAAACTCCACCTCCCAGGTTCAAGCAATTCTCCTGCCTCAGCCTCGGGAGTAGCTATAACAATAGGCATACACAACAACGCCTGGCTAATTTTTTAACCTTCTGTAGAGACAAGGTCTCCTTTTGTTGCTCAGTCTTGTCCAGTCCATCACGGCTTTTTCTTTTTTTTTCCCAGTCGGAGTCTTGCTCTGTCGCCCAGGCTGGAGTGTGCAGTGGCACAATCTTGGTTCACTGCAACTTCTGCCTCCTGGATTCAGGCAATCCTCCCCCCTCAGCTTCCTGAGTAGCTAAGATTATAGGCATGCGCCACCATACCTGGCTAATTTATTATGTATTTTTAGTAGAGACAGGGTCTCACCATCTTGGCCAGGGTGGTCCCGAACTCCTGACCTCAAGTTATCTGCCTGCATCAGTCTTCCAAAGTGCTGGGATTATAGGAACCACTGCACCCAGCCTCAATCCATCATTTTAACCTATGAGTTAAACGTATATGATCCTATGGGGTTTTTTTTTTTACAGGGCCAAAGCTGTCTTTCAAGCTGTGAATAAGATCTTTCTGTGAACCACTCCTTATAACAGCATATCCTAGATGATCAAGGCTACCAAGATGCCTATCTACATGCACAAGCCTGTCTGCACCTTTATAAAAATTTACATTTGGTAGCTCTGAGTTCACTGTGCGCCCCAACTGATGGTGTCACTTGCCAATATGAGAACAATATTGAGGCTAAGATTTTTAAAAACATTCACATAAAAGACAAGTTAAGAGATACAAGATGTTCTAGTATGAAACAGAGAAAAGAGATTCAGAATAGCCCAAAAGAAGTCAGAAATAATTTTCTTAAGACCACAGTGATTCCAGGGAGAAAAAAGGAAATGGCCCAACTTCTTGGGTGCCCACTCAGAAACAGATGACTTACACAAATTAAAATTCTCAGCTTATGCATTAAGGCATGTGTCATGGAATGAGCAACATATGTAGTCCTTTAGTCCCCTATTCAAAAAATACTTGTAAGTTTCAGATCTTTAAAATTCACAGGCTTGACACTAGCACAATTCTACCTTGATGTTATTTTTACAGTTTATCATAAATGGATCAAGGTGGTAGGACTAGGTTAACCAGAAATCAGTATCAGAAGTCATACAGATCTTTCTTAGTCAATGACAACAAGTAACCATCTTAACGAGTGACTCTTGCCTAAGTCCACCTAGACAGAAAATCTGCATAGATACTCAATTGGCCCTTCCTATAAGCTTCCTTTCTAAAGCAGCCGAAGTTTCAGAAGCAAGCCAACATCTACCAGCCAAGCTGGAAAGGCCAGGAAAAGGCAATAAAGGCAGTAAATACCTGCACTGATCCCCCATGGCGGTCTGCAGCCAAGTGAGACGTCAGGTATGAGGTATTGGTCTGCCGGCTGGGCTGAATTTCCCACTCTCCTCGGCGCTCTGATGATGCATTCTGCTTAGGCATTAGAAAGCATGAGAGCAAGATACGGAAGGAAAGGTGAAGCAACAGCAAGCAGTAACAAAATCAAGTACATTTGTGTCCCTGTAGGTTTTTCTTTTTTTTTTTTAAATTTTAAACTGACAACTGTTGGAAAGAACTGAGAAGTTAGCTTGTCTACACTCATTTTCACCTAATGCATTAACACATGACTCTATAGGGCACCTTCCTCACTCAGACACAGAAAACCAGTAATGACCAAAAGAGGAAGGAGGGAGGAAAAAACACACCTGAAGCTGGGATCATCTTTTAGTTTCCACAAAAGTAAAATCTTAGTAGCCACTAAACAGATCAAACTCAGAATGTTAAGATTATTGGAAAGCCAGGCTCAGTGGCTTACACCTGTAATCCCAGCACTCTGGGAGCCGAGGTGGGTGGATCACCTGAGGTCAGGAGTTCAAGACCAGCCTGGCCTACCGGGTGAAACCCAGTCTCTACTAAAAACACAAAAATTAGCTGGGCATGGCAGCACATGCCCGTAGTCCCAGCTACTCCAGAAGCTGAGGCAGGAAAATTGCTTGAATCCAGGAGGTGGAGGTTGCAGTGAGCAGAGATTACACCACTGTACTCCACCCTGGGTGACAGAGCAAGATACCTTCTCAGGAAAAAAAAAAAAAAAAAAAATCATTGGAAAAAGGAACCATCATAATTATAAATTACTTAACTGATTAAAAACCTTTATTTATTTATTGACTGATTGAGATGGAGTCTCACTCTGTTGCCTATGCTGGGGTGTAGTGGTGCAATCTCGGCTCACTGCAACCTCCGCCTCCCAGGTTCAAGCGATTCTCCTGCCTCAGCCTCCAGAGTAGCTAGGACTACATGTGCACACCATCATGCCTGGCTAAATTTCGTGTTTTTAGTAGAGAGGGGGTTTCACCACATTGGCCCGGCTGGTCTCGAACTCCTGACTTTGTGGATTCTTGGCCTCTCAAAGTGCTGGGATTACAGATGTGAGCTACTGCATCCAGCGATTAAAGACCTTTAATGGGGCCAGGTGCGGTGGCTCATGCCTGTAATCCCAGCACTTTGGGAGGCCGAGGCGGGCGGCTCACGAGGTCAGGAGACAGAGATCATCCAGGCTATCAAGGTGAAACCCTGTCTCTATTAAAAATACAAATCCTTAACCGGGCACGGTTGTACCGTGCCTGTAGTCCCAGCTAATCAGGAGGCTGATGCAGAAGAATCGCTTGAACCTGGGAGGTGGAGGTTGCAGTGAGCTGAGATTGCACCACTGTACTCCAGTCTGGGTAACAGAGAGAGACTCTGTCAAAAAACAACAACAACAACAAAAACTTTAATAGACAGGTAATACAGAAAATTCCTGCATTAAGAGTCAAGACAATATGCATTTTCCTTAATAGGAAGCCCACTATTCTTGAAATTAACCTTCATGGGATTTTGTACTAAGATAAAATGAGTAGTAGCAGTGGCTGGAATATGCTCTCTTAGCTAAAGGAATGAACAAAGTATCTCTCCAAAAGCAGGTTCACGGGTCACGAATATGAAAAGATAGGTTAAAACTAAAGCTATGGGCTGGTGGTGGTGGCTCACGCCTGTAATCCCAGCACTTTGGAAGGCTGAGGCGGGTGGATCACGAGGTCAGGAGTTTGATACCAGCCTGGCCAACATGGTGAAACCCCGTCTCTACTAAAAATACAAAAATCAGCCTGGCATTCTGGCATGTGCCTGTAATCCTAGCTACTTGGGAGGCTGAGGCAGGAGAATTGCTTGAACCTGGGGGGCAGAGGTTACAGTGAGCCAAGATTGCACCACTGCACTCCAGCCTGTGCAACAGAGCAAGACTCTGTCTCGGAAAAAAGAAAAGAAAATAATAAAAATAAAGCTATATTGTTTGCCTAGCTCTTCTAGCAAACAGCTTCTAGAACAGAATTAGAAAAAGTTTACTTATTAAAATGATACTATGAATTATTTTCTTCTAGAAAGTAAAAGGAGGGCCGACCTTCAACTAAAAACCTGTTTGGATTCTGCTTTCACCTTAATGTCACAGGCTGTCTTCCTTCTTTACCTGCTTTTTAGATCTCATACTATTCTGATCTTGCTTATATGTGACTGTTGTTCAGAAGAATCTGTTTAGGTGCCTCTTCCCCTGTGCCAGATGGCTGAGGAGGTGTTAACATCATGCTGCTCAGCTGTAACAATCCTAAGGCTCTATAAAAATGAAAAATGAGTAGTTGGAGAGGCAGCAATGAGGGATTAGTAAATCAAATTTTAATTGCTGTTGATAGAAACAGCTGCAGGGGTTAGGATGTGATACTGCAGCTCTGCATGAAAATCAGTAAGGACTATAAATCTTACAAATGTTCACAGCTATAAAAGTTGTATTCTATAAAAAAGGAAAAGCAAGGAAGTAATGGTTTGAGGGTCTATATTCACTCTCCATATTTCAGTATCACATTGACAAGAGTTGCTTAAAGCTCACCTGTAAGTCACCAAAGAGGCATTTCTCGTAAAAATCAAGAGCTTTGTACACCAGCTACAATTTACTCATTTTTATTAATGGAATATGAAGTCATATGGACAAGAGTATTATAAAGGATCCTGGCCATATTTTTTCTGCTATTCCTCAGAGAATAAACATATTCTATGAGAAGGCAGCTGTATGAACTTGCTCTATAATCTTATAAATGAGAGGTTTGATTTTATGCTGCTAGATATATTAGAGAGAATCAAAGCTACCCAAAATATTCCCTTACTACAATTATTTCTGCCAACAAAGATTCAAATGTTTCATTTTCAAAAATAAGACTATAGTGTACAACATAATCAGAATATTTTATAATCTATTTTTTTTTTTGAGGCGGAGCTTTGCTCTTGGTGCCCAGGCTGGAATACAATGGTGTGATCTCAGTTCGCTGCAACCTCCACTTCCCAAGTTCAAGCGATTCTCCTGCCTCAGCCTCCCAAGTGGCTGGGATTACAGGCAAGTGCCACCACACTCAGGTAATTTTGTATTTTTAGTAGAGATGGGTTTTCTCCATGTTGGTCAGGCTGGTCTTGAACTCTTGACCTCAGGTGATCCACCCACCTCAGCCTCCCAGAGTGCTGGGATTACAGACGTGAGCCACTGCGCCCTGCCGTATTTTATAAACTTACTGACATTGTCTATGTCCTCAGAGCACTTGGGATCATTTATTCTGACTGAGGAGATCTTAGAGTAAAGCTCTTCTTCTCATATTAGAAATAATATCTATAACTAAACCTATTAGTGATAGCCTTTTTCCGTTCTGTAGAGCTTTTTATTTTTGTAATATTTAAATATAATATTTAAGCTCCTAAACTATTATATAGTACTATCAGTTTTCTAAAACCTTAAGTGCTTAAAAAACATCCAGACATTGATAAGCCATTTAGTGCTGAATTTGAACTCAACGCAATTACATCTTATGAATGCTCTCTGTTTTTGTATTTGTTTTTAAGGCAGATAAAAAAGAAAATGGCTGGAAATGTATGTTCATGTATACTCACAGGCTTTTAAAGAAAACCCTGGACAGCTGATCAACAATTATTTCCATTTTTACTGAATTACACATCAGAACTCTGGTTTGATGCTACCGTCTGCATCAAACAATCTGTCTGATTTACAGAGCTACGTGGTTCTTTATATTCATTCTACTTTAATAAATAATTTGTTGAAAGATTCAAGATTTTTGTTTAAATAAAATAATAGCAAGACATTTTTCAAAGGCCTAAAAATCACACTCCATCTCCATTCTCAAAGCAATATGCTATGCATCTTTTAAAGAGAGTAAACTAATGATAACATTCTAGATTGCTTCAGAAGTGCTTCTACTATGATGAAGGAAAAACACACCATACCATACTACTGCCCGCCAAGGCCTGCTCTATCTGTTGAAAGCATCAAAACTAAGTACAGACGTGTACCTAGGGGTTGCTGGTTTATTACTTTGGAAACTAGTTTTCACTAACATGTTAAACTCTAGGGCTACTGTTTTCTGGAATGTAGGAGCATGGACCAGAATCTAGGGAATGACATAGTAGCAAGGGCCATTTTCAGTTTCAGAAAGCAACAGAATGCCTAAGAACTAGATGAAACCAAAGAAAGCTGATAACTACAGCAGTCTGCTAGTGTAACTTTCCCTGAAAGGTATTCCAGGCAATACTGTGTATACAAGAGTTATGATTAAGCCTCATCAGCAGAGTAGCTAGTTAGATGAAGCAAACCACTGGAAGAGAGGAGCACGTAAATCCTCCATTCTTAAAGATCACTCCTGCATACACATCTAACTAAGTAACACTCAAGAGATCCATGGGTAGAAAAGTCATTCAGCAAAGTCGGTTTCTCTGCATTACTTCAAAAGCAGAGGTCCACATAGAGTATGTAAGTCCCCCAAAGTAGGAGCAGGAATCTCAAGTGGTGTAACTCCTTGGGTTAATACTTTAAAATCTTCAGTTGTGACTGCATTACCTTCGTGGAAATTATTGATTTACTATGTAGTAGGTAAATCTTGAAACAAGAAAGTAGCAATCCAGCATAGCATAAATGAAAGGTAAAGGTAATAAAAAGTTTAGAAAACTGTTGGAACAGCAAAAACCCCCACCTATGCCCTATGCCAGGAAACAAATCTCTCTCAGCAGTCATTTGGCAGGGATGAATGGACAGCTGTAGTAAAGAGCAATACTAACGAAGGGGGAGGAAAACACAATCTGAAGACATCTCAAGTATCATCCCCATCTATGGCCTGAAAATTATTTCAAATTCTTAGTGGGAATAAAGTTACTATTCTGAAGCAAAAGGAGGGCAAACAACCTTTCTCTTGTAGCAAAAAAAATCACCAGGCAGCCATGGTGGCTCATGCCTGTAATCCCAGCACTCTGGGAAGCTGAGATGGGCAGCAGATCACTTGAGGTCAGGAGTTCAGGATCAGCCTGACCAACTTGGTGAAAGCTCATCTCTACTAAAACTACAAAAA